TATATGAATGACAATGTTCTAGTACTCTAGATTAAATATTTTAAAAGTTTGTTCATTTAAATTTTGTACAGCAGTGTCTTTGTATAACATTATAGATGTTGTAATTTTTTGAATAACATGTCAGGTCTTTTTGTTGAGAAGTTGAAGGTATGCTATAGGGTGGTAAGTTGGAAGCATTCTTTAAAACCATAATATTTTCACAAAATTGACACATTGCTAAACCTAAATGAACTGCATGGCTTCAATAAATCCTGATACCTTGCCTTAGATTTTGTGCTATTTTTTGTATCATGTAAGTCACAGCTTACTATATTCCTAATGTTTAGCTGCTCAAGGCACACAATCACACACACACACGTAGGTGTTAATAGTTTATGGTGCTGTCACCAAGACTCAGGTGATCAGCCATCCATCTTTCCTCTTACAGGTGTCGTCTAATTCCAGCTCCTCCATGAGCTCTAGCACGCCATTGGTCAGGATCACCACTCGCCGTAGCTCCGCCCACGACGACCCCATTCCAGAATACGACCTCCCTGAGGACCCGCGTTGGGAGTTCTCCAGAGACAAGTGAGCATCCTTGTGTTTCACTTTTTAAACATTTACAAGAAGTCTCCGACAAACTGAATTTAATGCTAATCTTCAAATTCACCTGGTTCATAAAGGTCACATACACGCTCGGGCTGAATTAGGTTGTCAGTTCACCTTTTAGTGCTTAATTCTGTTCTGTACACACAGTTCGGTTTTACGAGAGTGATAAATGCATTCTACAACAACTAGTTCATTAATGCTGTATTTAAACGCGTATCAGAGTTGTGTCTTTTCTGAATGTGAGGTGCAAGAAATCACAGTGTATGTTTTGACTCATTAGTGTTGCCAGATCTTGCTAGAAAAAAAGCGGCAAACAAAAACAAGCCCATAATAAACTCAAATCCAAACGCGTTATCTTGGGAATAAGCCACCTACCAAAATATAGCGATTTGCCTACTTTATTAACTCCATACACTGGATCGCTTTATGAGCCGAGCCCAAACAACAAGCCCAAAGACACTTAATAATAAGTGGACATGGCAACCCTTTAGTTAAGAGGCTAAAAATGGTGGATTCTAAATGTGCGAGACGGCAAAACGTTGCTATGGTTACCACGGTGTCAATCATCGCAGTTTCTTGAGAGAAACTTTACAGTGTGTACGTAGCTAAAATGTTTCTTGTTTTTTATTTATTGAAATATATTTGTATGAGAGTATAGTTTTTGTAGGCGCTATTAAATTCACAGTATAATCTTGCATCTTTTTCACTGATGTGAAGCTAATCTTCTTATACGCTTACAATCCCATTATGCCTAATTATTAACCTGTGACTTATGCAGGCGCAATGTACAATCAATCATTCATAACACAACACAGGCCTCTGTTCGTTAGCTTTATTATTCTTAGAGAAACCAAACACACATTTTTCTCATTAGAATGGAAGATACAAGTGGCTACCAGATAACTTTCTGTTAGCATCACGCGTTCTATTCTGACACGGTGACCTCGGCTGATGGTGTGACTAACGAGAGAAACTCAGACTCTCAGATTAATGTTTAACCGTCGTGCTTAATATTTAAGAAATGCTTCCGGTATCATTTGGAGATTTACAATGGATCCACTATCGTGATGTTGCCAAAACCGTACAGATTCCTAATTAATTACTACGAAAGCCTGTTTAAGCAATCTGTAACGAAAATGGAGTCTGTTTGTACTTTGATTGTCAAGGATGATTTGTAAGCAGTTTAATATGCCAGTATTCAACTCCAAACTCTAACCAAGTCTTTATTTATTAAATTAATGGTTGAAACCCAACAAGTACAGGCAGTGGTGGACGAAGTACACAAATCAAGTACTTGAGTAAAAGTACAGATCCGTATAATAAAATATTTCTCCAGTAAAAGTACTCGGTTTTCAATTTTACTCGAGTGAAAGTACAAAAGTACTTGATTTTTTATGTACTTAAGTAAAAAGTACTGATAGATGAATGTTTATTTTGCAGTTTTATATAGGCTACTTTTATCATTTAATTTTATATTAGCATAT